GCCGTTTTTGGAACCAGGACGGTATGTTACTTTGAAATCAAATCGACTAAAGAAGAGGGACCACCTGGCCTGTCTGGGGTTCAGTCTCTTGGCGGTCTTGATGTACTCAAGGTTACGGTGATCAGTTAGAACAGTGAAAGGTAAATGAGCTCCCTCCAGCCAATGACGCCACTCCTCCAAAGCTGCCTTCATAGCCAGTAGTTCCCGGTCACCCACGTCATAGTTTCTCTCTGCAGGATTCAGCTTACGTGAGTAGAATGCACAAGGAAAAAGTTTTGCTGGATTACCCTGCCGCTGTGACAGTATTGCCCCAATGCCTGTATCAGACGCGTCTACCTCCACGACAAACTCCCGCTCAGGGTCTGGATGGTGCAGAATGGGGGCTGTGGTGAATCTCTCCTTTAGCTGCTGAAATGCCGCAACGCTTCTGGATGACCACTTTAACTGATGACCACCTCCCTGCAGTAGGGACGTAAGTGGTGCTGCGATAATGCTGAAGTTCCTAATAAATCGACGATAGAAGTTGGCGAAGCCCAGGAAACGTTGCAGTTGTTTCACGTTAGTGGGTTGCGGCCAGTTTACCACTGCTTCTACCTTACTACTGTCCATGGTGACTCCCTCAGCACTGATGATATATCCTAGGAAGGCGATCTGCGTCTGATGGAACTCACACTTGGGTAACTTAGCGTACAATTGGTTATCAATGAGGCGTTGTAATACAGCTCTCACATCTCTCACATGATCTTCAAAAGTCTCTGAATAGATAAGGATGTCGTCAATGTAAACAATGAGGTTTCGATTTAGCATGTCTCGGAGGATCTCGTTGACAAAGGACTGGAATACAGAGGGACTATTGGCTAATCCGAAGGGCATCACGTTATATTCATAGTGCCCCGTAGTGGTTGAGAAGGCTGTCTTCCATTCATCTCCCTCTCTGATCCGGATTAAGTTGTAGGCATTTCGCAAGTCCAGCTTGGTGAAATACTTAGCGGTACGGAGTTGTTCAAGGGCAGCAGGGACTAAAGGTAATGGGTAACGAAATTTCACAGTGATTTCATTGAGGCTGCGATAGTCAATACAAGGACGTAATCCTCCATCCTTCTTCTTCACGAAGAAAAATCCAGCTGAAGCCGGAGAAGTAGATGGTTTGATGAATCCCTTCGATAGCTGTTCCTCGATGTAGGACTTCATGGCTTCGGATTCGGGTTGGGATAGAGGAAAAATCCTTCCTCGGGTAGGAGAGGAGCCTGGTATGAGATCAATCGCGCAGTCATAAGAGCGGTGAGGGGGAAGTTTGGTTGCCTGGTGTTCACTGAAGGCCACGGAAAGATCATGGTACTGCGCAGGAATTTTCGTTAAATCAAAATTCTCGGAGTGCGTGACAGTTGAGGGTACCCTGGTGAGAGAACGTAGACATTCCTCCTTACAGGAGTCGGACCACTGGGTTATCTGTTTCTCAGACCATGAAATGACGGGGTTGTGTCTCTCCAACCAGGGTAATCCTAGAATAATGGGATGTCTTGGAGAGTCGATGGTATATAATTGGATGCGTTCAGAGTGAAGGGTGCTGGTCTGTAACGTGATTTCTTGAGAGATGTATTGTATCTTGCCGGTGCCCAACGGGCGTCCATCTAATGCTGCAACCGCCATCCGGGATGTGCATGGAAGAAGAGAGAGTTGGTAAGTCCTTGCAAATGATAAGTCAATGAAATTTCCTGCCGCTCCTGAATCTACTAATGCTGTGGTATTAATCTTCTCATCTCCAAAGCATAGCGTAACCTCAAGTTCCAGTAATTTTAAAGAATTGCAAGGGGAACTCACCGTTGTAGAGGTTCGTGAGATGGGTCGCTTGGGACAGGTCGCCCTCATGTGGCCAGGTTCACCGCAGTACAGGCACAGGTGATTCCGTCTTCTTCTCTCTTTTTCCTCGGGTGTTAAGCGGGTATAACCGATCTGCATGGGTTCGTTCTCCGAGCCAACAGCGGATTGAACTTCGAATCTGTGTGTCTGTGGCACTCGCCGAGCTCGCATTAAGTTATCCAGACGAATGGATAGATCAATAAGTTGGTGAAGCGATTTTCCTTCATCCCGACATGCCAGTTCCCCTTGTAGGTCAGTATTCAAACCTTTTCGGTATAGTAATTTGAGTGGGTCATCACCCCAGCCCGTCTGCGCAGCGAGAGTGCGGAAGGAGAGAGCGTAATCCGCCGCTGAGGAAGCGCCCTGGCGTAATGAAAGCAGCAGCTCACCCGGTTCTTTCCCTCCGGCGGGATGTTCAAAAACTTCCTTGAATTGTTGCATAAAACTGTGATAAGATGGAAAAGATAGATTGCCTCCTTCCCAGAGAGCTGTTGCCCATTCCAGAGCTCTGCCAGTTAACAAGGAGCATATAAACGAAATTCGACTATCGTCTGTTTGGTAGAACTGGGGCTGCTGATTAATGAAAATGGAGCATTGCAGCAAAAAACCTTTACACTTGGAGGGACATCCATCATATTTCTCAGGTAGAGATAAGCGGGGATTGTTGGATGAATTACCCACGACAGGAGGAGAAGGGTCGGATTCAGCCGAAGGAATAGCTGCAGCACCAGCAGGAGGCGTGAGTAATTGAACGGACTTCACCAGCTGTTCGGTAAGTGTAGTTAGTTTGACAAGTTGCTGTTGATGAGATGCCAGGATATTAGCTTGAGTGGTCAGTTCTGAAGCTAGATGATGCATGGCTGCTGGATCTTGTATTGGCGAAGTCTTCTGTGAAGCAGAGTCAGAAGCGTGCAGATCCATGTGCAGTATATGTTTATTAAGAGTAGTAAGACAGGCAGAAGTCAACGATCAGCATTCAATATGGAGTAGGCAATCCAGAGCATAAACAATACCAGGCAGGGGTCAGGACAGGCGGCAACAATCGTAATCCAGAGAGAGACAGGCAAGGGTCGGGGCAGGCAGCAAACAGAGAATCAAAGTCCTAGAACAGTCACGGGTCGATACACGGGCAATCCAGATAATCAGTATAGAAACGCTCAGAAATGTCGCCGGGGCAAAACAAGACTTCGCACTGATAGAGAGTCAGAGAGCAGTTTATATGGAGAGGTAAATGAGGAACACCTGTGTTGGTGATTAGACCTAGGTACGGGGCTTTATGGGAAATGGAGTTCAGTACTCAGGAGACGGAGCTCTGGGTTGAGCGGAGAGAGCCACGGAGGCGCGATTCATGACACCTATCATGCACTGGACCTTGAATAATTAATGAGGTTCATTTTTCACTATTTTCCAGCTGTATTTACACTGTTTTATCATTGATTTTTTGTCACTATTAGTAACTTGCCATTTTGCCAAAATGACATTCAAACACAAAAACGACCCATCAAATGTTACCGCCAGTGTGTATTGTCTACCAAGTATTGAGGTGTTTGCATTCACATGATGCTTAACATCTGACATGATGTAATATACATTACCTAGATGTTCTAAGTAAAGTACATACTATAAATGACTAATAAAATTCAATATTATTGTTTTAGTAAAATGTAATGCAAAGGAAATCGATATTAATCAACCTTTTACTAGCCGAGTTAAAATGACTTATTTTTTGTAAAGTTTACTTAATTCCATATTCCAAGTAAATTTAAAACGAAGATTTCTAATTAAAGCTATAAATATGTTTATGTTTTTACTTGGCAAATCTTTGTAAATTTACTAGCATTTTCTGAGTGAAAAAAGTTAGCAAGCTTTTTTCAAGTAAATACTCCAAATTTACTAAGCTCAGCGAGTATTTTACATCATTATATCATCCTTGACGATTCTAAAATTAAACAGAGACATGTAAGCACTAGCCTTGTGATTGTCATTATCTGGACCAACTCTTTAGATGTTCGTCCTATAGGAACTGAAAGACAAGCTGGGGACGTTGTTGACGTGTGCTTTGGCCCTCAAACTCACTAAACAGAACATAACTAAGAGCCTTTATTCAAGATACAGTCCCAGTTTCACAGATGAGGACAGGTAGGCAAAGAACATTTACACAAACTAGCGGTTAGACCTGCTGACCTTGAACAAATGCTGAGTTGGATCCAAAATTGTGTGTAATGAGTACATGTGTATTGCTTCATTGGGAGGAGGGGGACAGGTGTTAGAGAAGGATGTGAATGCTGTTTATTTGACATTGGCCCTGATGCAAATGGTAAAAAAACGTTTCTTTTTTTTTTTTTAAACAGATCAATTGTGTGAGTTGTCTCTTACCACACAATATTCTAATGCTTTCATTACTTCCACCATGGCTTGTCCTTCGGCTATTCAGCATCAAGAGTGGTGCCTTGATATGACTTTCAATACAGGCTGCAAATCAATAAGCCTTTATTTTCTTCTTTAGGGGAGCAATGACATCAGTACACCCCCATCTGCCTCAGACAAACCCCGTAAACAGTGCATAATACAGATGACCCTGGACTTTAGTAACAAAACAAAAAATGATAAATTATCACAGGACATTTGGAGTAAAGGACACACACACATACATGGGCTACTGTAAAATTGTCAAACCAGACAAAGCTAGTCTGGGACCGATGCCAATCTAGGAGGGAACATCTACTGTCACCTCCTATAGTTCTCAGAAATGAATAGGTGAATACCTTCAGGCAAAACATTGCCTGCAAACATTGGTAATGCAGTCTGGAAACGTTTTCACACTGCATACAATTCTGAGAGCTAGTTGTTTTCTTGTACCATTGCACTTTAATTATTTTTTACTACTATTATTGTTATTATTTATCGTATATTTATATTTAGGAAAAGTAATTAAATGACCCCATGTGCTTTTTTAAATTATGATTAGATACATCAGATACTCAAATTATTAACATTACACTGGATATCATTTTGCATCATCATGAATATTATAAATCAAATGTCAAAAGAGATTAAATAAGACATTAATCATGATTAGCTGTGTGTGTGTGTGTGTGTGTCCTTTGGAGTAAAGTTGCCACACACACGCACACACATACACACACATTTTACTGTTCCCGTGAGGACATTTGGTGTCCATAAATTACATGAGGCAAAACCTGATGAGGCAAAACAAACATCATACAAGATAGGGACTATAGCGCCCCCTATGTGTGCATCAGAGAGAGACAGTGGGAGGCGTCCAGTGCTCTTTAAAAACTCTAAACTATTTGGCATTTGAGTGGATGGTACCACAGAGACCTCAGCTGTGCATGGACATCTCCAAGTGTAAAGCTCCTCATAGTTTCAGCAAGGAAACATAGCAGTTCCCGCATCACCAGGCAGGAGGATGGCTTACTTCGACAGCAGCTGCCACTGCAGCAGTGAAAGACGACAGAACAGCATCTTGTACAGCATTTTAAAGAACGACAGTCAGTCTGCGCAACTTGGGAACCAGCCGAGGACACCGAGACTCGCCGTGTCCATGCGCGCTTGTGCGTGCGGATCCAAGAGGAAGGTGTCTCTCCGTTCCCCTCAAACCACATGCAAAGCCGCCTCCGCGGTCCTGGTCAAGACCCTGAAGTTCGTGAAGAACGTCCCGTGTTTCCGAGAGCTGCCGGTGGATGACCAGCACACGCTGGTGCGGAGCAGCTGGGCGCCGCTGCTGGTGCTCGGCATGGCGCAGGACAGGATCGACTTCGAGACTTCGGAGACGCAGGAGCCCAGCATGTTGCAGCGGATTTTAACGAGCGGACAGGACAAGCAGGACAATCAGAGTAATAACAGTGGGGTGGCGTTGACCGACGTTCAGGGTATTAAAATGTTTCTGAGGAAATGCTGGGGACTGGACATAAGCACTAAGGAGTACGCATACTTGAAAGGGGCTATTCTGTTCAACCCAGGTGAGACATGATGCACTGTCACACCTGAATTTGGACACACACTTCCTAACTGCCTGGTTTTAATACGTTTAGTCACGCTGTAATTATTAATATTCCTATTAACACTGATAGTAAAATTAAAATAATAATAAAAACAACAAATGCATGAATTAGGACAGTTCGTAATTTAAAAGTAGGCGAATAATTGAAAAAAGTAGAAAAATATTAATGTTAAAAATCATTATTAAATTTAATACACACTTAATGTACACTTCTATTAATAGTTATTGTCATTATTGTATTAAACCAATAATAATCTTATTGTCAATTTAATCCTAATGATACTTATTTGATGCCTATATAAGATTCCAAATGATGATACAATTTTTATAGCATTCCTTTATTTTTTTATAATTTCGGGTTCTTATGTTGTTCAAATCATATTCAAATATTAATATAGAACAATAGATGACTCAAAGTTTCAGAAACAGAGAATTATTAATTTATAGTCAAATATAATCAAAGGTATCTGTTTAGTGGGGGTAATTTAATAATATAAAACAAGTCTCTGTCCATCTCTTGTTCTCAGATGTTGCTGGGCTGCAATGTCAACATTACATCCAGGCCCTGCAGAGCGAGGCGAACCAGGCACTTAATGAATATGTCAAAATGATTCACCGTGGGGACAGTGCAAGATTCGCCAAACTCTTCCTCGCTCTCTCCATGCTGAGATCCATCAACGCCAACGTGGTGGCTGGTCTCTTCTTCAAACCGGTCATCGGAGCAGTCAACATGGAGGAACTTCTTCTGGAGATGTTTTATGGGAAATAAACTCACATTAAAAAACCAGGACTGAATTATCAAAGTCGGAAAGAATGGCAGTCGGCAGTGGACGGACAGATATTGAAAATGACTGATTCCTTTTTACACATGCTATTTTTGTACAATTTATGAGAGCTCTCTTTTTGCCTTCTGAGTTGAACTCATCGCTGAATCCAAAGTTGATGACAACGTTTTTCCCATTTGGGGAAAGTGCTTTATAACTTTGTTCTAATTGTTTGTTTTTGTTTTTTTGTTTACTTGCTTTAATGTGATGTTGTGCCGCCTTATTCTGGTTGACACTTTATAATAACTTTCATTAGCAAACCATCAACAAGCATTCATTTATATATGAATGGCATTTAATATATATTTTAAAATGTAATTATATTTTAAAATAATATATTACATCGAAAAATAGTGTTTCTCAGTTTCATGACTAGCAATTTGAATATATATATATATATATATATATATATATATATATGAACTTGTGATCTGTTTTGCATTACATAATGTAACAATTTTGATTAGTATTGTTAATGAAAGTTATTATAAAGTTTAAACTGTATTTGAATATTAGAAATTATTGTACGTTTTTGTTATGCATTGACATAATGGAACATGGTTACACTCCTTCACATTTCCCACAACATAATGGACAGATATGTGTTTTTTTCATTACAGTAACAGTTACATTTCGATAAACATGTCAACGGGAAGCACAAATACAAAAAACACTTCTGAAAATAAAAAATAATAGTTAGGAAATCATTGTTTCATAGCTCAATAGCAATATTGTTTACCTAACCACTTCAGGCTGCATAGACACGTCAGTAGGGGGCGACAAGGGACTGTCTTTATGAGTGAGTCGATGAAAAACATGAATGAAACAAGTGAAATATGGGACATCATTGAATTATTCCCTCAACCGTTTCTTTCAATTACGCTACGCTGATTCATTGAGGAGCTGTTTTGCTCAGACGGTTGATCCTGCCTTGACTTGAAACAGTTGTCTTTGGTGGAGCAATTTGTATGTTTTTAGAATGCAAGTTACTGATACATTTTGTCCTTTATGTAGCCTAGTAGGATGTGTTTTAAAGTAACAGCCTCATGATTTCATTGACGTGTGTGGGATTTTCAATTAATTTTTTATTTATTTAAGTTTTTGCAATTTATATCACTATTAGCCTGCAGTACTGTTATATTTAAACATGTTTTACAGTATAACATACTCATTAGAAAATCATTTGCATGATCAAAACTAACAAAGCCAGACATAGGAAACCACGGGGTTTACAAGTACCAGGTAAGCATCTTTTACCATTTCAACCAAAAAGTCAAAATAATGAGGAAGAATAACTAGGCGCCTTGTGTGTGTTTATGAAGACCTTGTAGGGCGGCAAGGAGAGATGATATATGACTGTTGAGTTCTCTGAACTCTCGTTCATTCATCCCCCTCCTCAATATTCGGTCACCAAATATATTTTTAATGAGTCTGAACCTCCACGGCATGCACTTTAGGGTTGCTGTGACCCCATTTCTTTCTCTGTATCAGTATAGCTGCACTCACTGTCACAAATATTCACCTTATGTATTGTGAATTGTGGCTCCGTGGTTTCAATTAACATCATATGCTTGGTCTGGTATTAGTCCGCGCTGTTATTCATGCAGAAAAACATAAATAAATATAAGAGGATGCATAAGAAAAAAACCCTCTGTTTTTCTGAATTAACAAGTTAATTATCTCAGAATTATGAGATAATTTTTCATGGAAAAAAGTTTTTGCTCTGTTTTTCTGAATTAACGAGTTACTTTTTCATGAGAAAAAAAGTTTTTGCTCTGTTTTCCTGAATTAAAGAGTTAATAGAAAAACGGAGCAAAAAAAAAAAAATTCCAAGAAAAATGAACTCGTTAATTCAGAAAACAGAGCAAAAACTTTTTTTTCTCATGAAAAATTAACTCTTTAACTCAGAAAAACAGAGCAAAAAAATTTCCATGAAAAGTTAACTCGTTAATTCAGAAAAACAGAGCAAAAACTTTTTTTCTCATGAAAAATTAACTCGTTAATTCAGAAAAACAGAGCAAAAACTTTTTTTCTCATGAAAAATTAACTCGTTAATTCAGAAAAACAGAGCAAAAACTTTTTTTCATGAAAAATTATCTCGTAATTCTGAGATAATTAACTTGTTAATTCAGAAAAACAGAGTTGCATTCACTTTCTTCAAGTGAATGCAATATGCCAAACCAATACAAAAAATAACAAATAAAAACATGTCTGGCCATGACTGACTAGCCATAGAGTATAGCCAAAATTCCATTAGGTTAAATAACATAATAACATTATAAACAAATAATTAGACAGAAAAGATGACAGTGAGAGAGACAAAAGGAATAAAATAACGAATGTAACATTGACAAATGTATAATGTTTTTTTTGAAGACGACTGTCAAGCCAGTCATAGTTGAGCAACATAGGGACAAGTGAGTTAGATCGAAGAAAGCTTGTTATAGTCAGTATATTATATTCTTACAATCACATTTGCACATATACACTATCATTGAAAAGTTTGAGGTGAATTAATACCTTCATTGAGCAAGGATGCATTACGTTAATCAAAAGTGACAGTGAAGACAAAACATTTGTGTTTAAAATGCGTTGTGCATTAGCCTAATTAAATAAGTCACAAACCAGTCTGTAAAACATATCTTTTTATAGCTAAGGTCCATTTGATTTGACAAACTTAAAACATTCCATAAATATACCAAAACATATTTTCCATTCATGTCCATATTATTTTGAAGTTACTGGTAAGCCCCATGTTCATGTGTTGAAAGCACATGCCACATGGAGCGTGGCAGCTCTTTGCAGCAAGAGAAATTTCTGAAATATTTATTGGCTTTCCTTGCCAGCAGAAGTCACTGCTCTTTAGTAATGTCTCTCCAGGCGGCAGGATATGAGAGTCCCTGTCATAGACTGCTGAGCAACTCTTCTCATTGCAGCTGGTGGAAGAAATGACATGTCATTGTTATTGTTTTAACAATTGCACTTTGAGCTGTTAAACAGGAACATCACCTGCATTGTTCAGTAGTCATTGCATTGTCCTCACAGTGTCCATGCTATCATCCTCAGGCTTTTGAAACCTGTGAATACATCAACTATATACTATTTATTGAGTATTACAATATTTAAAGGAATAGTTCACCAAAAAAATGAAAATTCTAAGTGACGAGAATGAACCTCATTGGTTCTTGCATGTCAAGCAAACAAGCTTGATCTTCTGTTTACCACAACTGATGTGTGTTGATGAATGTTTATATTTTATTAAAAGCTTAAAGGAGTAGTTCACTTTAAAAAAAAAACTTTTGCTGATAATTTACTCACCCCCATGTCATCCAAGATGTCCATGTCATTCTTTCTTCAGTCAAAAAGAAATTAAGGTTTTTGATGAAAACATTCCAGGATTTTTCTCCATATAATGGACTTCAATGGGAACCAAACGGTTCAAGGTCCAAAAGACAGTTTCAGTGCAAACTACAAACTGTTCAAAGGGCTTTAAACGATTCCAAACGATGAATAAGGGTCTTATCAAGCGATAAATAACAAAGTTTAAGTTTTATAAGATCAAATGGTCACCTTGCTCTTTTAGGGTTAGGCAGTGATGCGCGTTTGCAAACTCGTTCATCAAAATGAACGAATCTTTTCCTAAATCAACTCGTTGATTTTGTTCGTTGAATGAACCAAATGACATGAAAAAAGATTCGTTCATTTTTATAAACAAGTTCGAACAGGAGAGTCACGAACGCACATCACAGAACAGAGCAAGGCGACCATTTGAGCTTATAAAACTTAATTTTTTTTTTTTGTTTAAATGAGCGATCTTTTCGCTTGATAAGACCCTTATTCATCGTCTGGAATCGTTTAAAGCCCTTTGAACAGTTTGCACTGAAACCTTCAACCGTTTGGTTCCCATTGAAGTCCATTATATGGAGAAAAATCCTGGAATGTTTTCATCAAAAACCTTAATTTCTTTTCGACTGAAGTCTGCTCTTTTAAAATCAATCTGTTCATCAAATAATGTAATTTAGTCAGAAAAATCGGAAAATTTGGACTAAACCAATCTGACTTAATTCCGCTTAATTTTCGATCTAATTATAAACTTTTTGAAGCGCCATATTGGTAGTTGGTAGCTGTCTAGGGACAAAAAAGCTCTCAGATTTCAGCAAAAATATCTTCTTTTGTGTTCCGAAGATGAACGAAAGTCTCACAGGTTTGGAAAGGCATGAAGGCGAGTAATTACTGAAAGAATTTTCATTTTTGGGTTAACTATCCCATTTGACTACCCATATTAAGCAAATGGAAAGCAGAAGTAAAATATAACATGAATATTTAAATATGAAAACAACCTGGGTTCCAGGCGCTCTTTCACTTTTGCTATGGATAAGATGTAGGGTCCAATTTGCCGTGTAATGGTTGTCAAGTAGGAATTTTCTTGCTTCAGCTGCAGAAGGTCATGAAGCTGTGCTGTAATTAGTAAATGAATTAGTTCACAAATGAATAGTTTAACTTGCATGATAAAATGAACCCTGAGGCATCACCTCACCTTCATAGATCTCTTCCTCATTGGTTACTCTTTGAAAGGTCACATCCCATAGCTGGAAACACAACCAAAATATTCTAAGGTGCACTGTTAGGTTTTTTAAAAAAAGGAACATGGTTTTGCAGGAATTATAATTTCACCTCACCTTCTGAAATACGACCCTCTGGGTCTGCACGGCAGAGTGCAGAGACGCGATCTGTTCATCAATGACTAGAGACCGTTCCAAGATCTTATCCATGATGTCCGTGTTGACGAGAGAGTGATGTTTTGTCAGATCTATGTGCATCTTCTGAACCTCATCCTTCAGCCTCTGGACTTCTGTTTGAAGAACCTGGCACATGAAATATGCATATAATTGATCAAATAATACACATATACACACTTTTTTTCTTTTTTTAAACCCAAAATACAAGAAAAGCATTGTTTTAGAGTGCATGAATGGAATGAAAATGCATTTGATTCTCTTTCGAGAATCAAAAATGGTGAAATAATAGAAGAGATTATTTAATGTATACAATATAATACACTTTAAAGTGTCTCTCTCTACACTCTTAGAGTAAAATACTCTATATATAACCTTAAATCATCACTAAAGAAGATTTTTTACCATAAAATAATGTTTCCAAACTGTTTCAGCGGTTCATCAAGTCGTAACAGGGTGAAAGGGTGAACACTTGTGCTTTGCGTATCTGCTATGACCACACTAAGTTTGCCAGATCAGGTCGCGTTTCTGTAAACTTAAGAAAACTACAAATTTGGCTTGCTTTACGTTAAGCGTTACAATCGTTACAACAATTTGTTTTTTCTTTGTTTCTGATGTCGCAGTACATCATATTTTCATGAAATCGTGCAACATATTCTACCTTGTCACTGAATACCGTTTATTCCAAAGCCAGTGCTGGATAAACAGCGATCGTGCGTGCGACAGTACGCTGCGGTAGGCTAAATTATTTACGACAGCGGTAATGGACAATTCCGCTTCCAACCTGTAGGCCGACCGAAGAGGAAAAGTTCTTTAGTCTTGCTTTAAAGCACCAAAAATGAAAATTCTGCCATCATTTACTCACCCTTGTGTTGTTTTAAACCTGCATGAGTTTCTTTGTCCTATTGAACGCAAAAGAAGATATTGTGAAGAACGTTGGTAACCAAAGAGTTGCATGACTCCCATTGTAATGAAAAAAGTATATATATATATATACTGTGGAAGGCAATGGGAACCAACCATGTTGGTTTCCAACATTCTTCAAAATAAATTCTTTTTTGTTTAACAGAACAAAGAAACTCATGCAGTTTTAGAACAACTTCAGGCTGAGTAAATGATGACCGAATTTTCTGAACTCTCTCTTTAATGCTTGTTTTGTCATGGCATCATCTTGAGGCCCCATTGGAAGTGCTGAGGCCCCCCACTGGACCCTGGTCCCCTGGTTAGGCATTCATATATCGAACCTTTTAGGGATTCCCATCACAAGGTATTTCCATTTAAAACAGAATGATGAGGCTGACATATCACTTTTCTTTAATAACAAATAGAAGTTCAATTCTGTCCATGTGTAGACTGACATATCAAAGAGGACTAATTCTCACCCGGTAGCTCTTCTCAAAGTTGCGGCAGTGCTCGGTAAAGGGTGACTCTCTGCCCTCGGCCAGCAGCACCTTGGTACAAATGTATCTGTGAAAGGTGGGCCTGCGCCTAAAAGGCATTTCACTGAGAGACGGTGACGGGCAAGACGTAGAGCTGACTGCCTGTGAAAGGAAATGAGACATCCTAACATCATTCTTATTTTTCACCTGTAGTCAGAACTGTTTTTAAATCTTTCTCACAAAGATTATAACCTGGCAGCTACTGACATAGAATGGACTTAAAGATGCACATGCAAATACAAAAACAAATTGTAAAAATTTTGTTACAAACCAAACAATTTTGTTATTTATGAATACAACGTACAGGTAAAAGCACATTTAACAAAATAAAACCTTTTTTTGTTGCTAAAATCTTAGGATAAACAATCCTATTGATGTAATAAATAAATATCTGTGTTGTTATTAATTAATATTTTCATATGCTTTTTAAATGCTTTTGTCATTTGTATTCGTTTTAATAATATTAGTTAATAAAAATACAGTTGTTAATTCATGTTAGTTCTAATTATTGTTAACAAACACAACTTTTGATTTTAATAATGCATTAGTAAATGTTGAAATTCATGTTATTGTTGTGCATTTTAACTAAAGTATTTAACTAATATTAACTAATGAAACCTTATTGTAAAGTGTTACCACTGTGATTTAAGTAGTTTATAATTTGTATTTAGTTTTAGTTTCAGCTTTTTTTCAATGAACGAAAACATTTTTTAATAGTTTAAGTTAACAATAACGACACTGACCTAAGCAACCTAACTCTCTCATTAATATATTATGTACAGTAGGCTACCAACCATCAAAACATTGACATTCAGACCTATTTTTGCCAAAATTAAACTCTGCTTATCCTTTCAGAGCTTGATGACCATTGATGGTCACTAACGATGCACATAAATTCAGCATTTCCACTTCAGCCCACAAACCTCAGCTGGAAATTCCCGAGGTTCAGGAACAAGAATTAAAAGATCAAGAATTAAAAGCTCTATTGAAAGCTCATGATGATACTAAGAAAACAACAAGAATAAAGACAGTTACCTTAGTTTCAAAGCTCCTCTAATCTCTCTTCCCTAGTACTGTGGCGGTACAAGTCCCTCGAGTGAGTCTGGACAATGTATGTTCTCTGAGCCTAAGTGACAAGCGTCCCACCCCCTTACTTTTACCAATTTAAGATCCTGGCACCAACGGTGACATCAGCAGCTTTGGAACAAAGTGCTTTGTGTGAACTCTGTGCAACAAGCAGAATCCGAAACACTTCTTTGAAATTCTGTTAAAAATAGTGAGAGAAGCCTGACGCCTGTACTGTCTGTTGTCATGGGGGCAGATGGGGGAGGACGTTTGTTTGGTGGAGCCGGGCTTCACGAACCTAGAAACGGTAAGGATGATTGATTTGGAAAGTTGTCAGAGTGACTTGCGTCATTGGACTCTCAGTGGAGAGGTGGAGGTTGCTGTGGTGGAATAGCTGTACATACATTCTGATCAGCGCATGACGTCTTGGGACGTCTTTTGACCATACGTCAACATCCGCCTTTTTAGGGTACCCTTAAACGTTGGTTAAATGACGTTATCCTACCCCAGACCTAAACCTACCCCGTCACCGAACCGACGTTAAAGATAAAGCGTCAGTATGACGGCCCGGGATCGTCATGCAACCGACGTTTCTACCCTAACGTATGGTCAAAAGACGTCCCAAGACGTCATTTATATGACTTCTTGGGATGAGACTGTGTTATTCTGATCTCTTATTTCGAGTAGATGCATTGAGGCCGTAATGACGAGTCTTTTATGAAAACTGGCAGGGGATAAGGACTGGCATGCATGACAGTGGGAATTCAATATGGAAACTTTTAATCATGATAATAGGTTTCGAGGATTAGGACTGATATTGTAAAGTGGCTCCAACAAGCCACATGGGAAAAATGTAGGAATGCCACTGCGTTACATAACAAAATATCAAACAAACATATTCAATTATCAATACTGACAAGACATGTCACACACGATTTCTATTTCAAATAATGTTGTTTTTTAAACTTTCCATTCATCAAAGGATCCTGAAAAATGTATCATGGTTTCTACAAAAATATTAAAGGAGTAGTTCACTTTTAAAAAAAACTTTTGCTGATAATTTACTCACCCCCACATCATCCAAGATATCCATGTCATTCTTTCTTCAGTCGAAAAGAAATTACGGTTTTTGATGAAAACATTTCAGGATTTTTTTTCGATATAATGGACGTCAATGGGAACCAAACGGTTCAAGGTCCAAAAGACAGTTTCAGTACAAACTGCAAACTGTTCAAAGGGCTTTAAACGATTTCAGAATAAGGGTCTTATCAAGCGAAACGATCTTGGATATCTTGGATGACATGGCGGTGAGTAAATTATCATCAAAAGTTTGTTTTTTTTAAGTGAACTACTCCTTTAAGCAGCAAAACTGTTTTCAACATTGATAATAATAAGAAATGTTTTAATGTTTGTTGAACGTTTGCTGGTTCCTGCCTCCTTCCCACACTATCTAACCTTGTTACAAATGTTCTTACAAAGATGTTTGCAGTGATCACATTATCAATCATGTCATCAATCACTGTTGCTAACCTTTCACAATGCAGCACAGGTTGAGATAGGGCCGGGTCCTATTCACTGATTCTTAATAGCCTATAATAAAATAATAATACAAATACTCAAATACTAATGTCCAATTACATTTAGTGCTGCTATGAAGACACTATAAATATAATTATACACTATATATGATATAATAAGTGCATATTCTCATCCCAAAGCGTCATATACTGACGCTTTTGACATTTCGTCTACATCCAACGCACATGGCACCCTTTAGCGTCAATATGGGCCCGAAGGCGCCTCCTAGTGGTCTAACCCTAACCCTACCCCAGAACTAAACCTACCATAACCGAACAAAGCTCTGTGCGTGTTATATTGACGCTAAAGCTTGCCATGTGCGTTGGATTTAGACGAAATTTCAAAAGTGTCACTATATGACGCCCTAGGGTGAGAACGTGTTGCATATTCCGAGCAAGCTCTTACAGTTTCTTAGAAAAGTGCTTATAAAAACTCCATATAGTTCACTCCATAGCAACATTTAACACAACCTGCAATTCTATGCAGTGAGATCAGAGGTGGATTCGGAGAAAAGGAATTTAGGATCAAATCTCTTTCTTTCGTAAGCTCTGTTCATGTAGATCTGCAGTGATAGCAGCACATGTTCACACAAGCTAAATGAAATCTAAAGAGCTAAAACTGATCTGGAAACAGTACTCGTATACAGCTCTATATTATGAACAAGGCTCTGAAGTGGTCCGTCATTGGCATAACTCTCTGAGCCCTTCTCCCGAAATGAGAGCTTTCCAGGAAGTCAGGCTCTAGCTGTGCCTCATGTTTTCACCTCAGCTCCTGGTCCCTCACAGACACAAACCGAACTCTAGCTATAACAGGACAGTTGCCACCTGGTGCCACCTGGTGCATTGTTAGGGAGAGTTATATAAACTATTTTCTGTTTAGCTTAATAACTGGGTGAGAATGCACCAGCGGGATGGCAGTTTCTCCTTCGATCCTGTTATCTGTAGACAGCTCTCATTAGACAGAATTCAGACAATCTGGGGTGCGTTTCCCTCGCTGCTTCACTGCCATATACGATACATCGTTGGAGAAATCAACTAACTAGTCAGTGTTTCGGGATACACAGAATCCTTGAACCAAGCTGATAATGACAGAATATGCGAACAATGGCAAACGATGCTTTGGGAAAACGCACCCCAGAGCAGTCCAAGTGCATAAAAAATGGCATATCTGTGCATTATAATAAATTATAATGAAAACAATTGTAGTACTAATTGTGACAAAACTTTGGGGTTGGTGAGATTTGAGATTTGGTGAGACCAAGACTGTTTTTGTTTCATCATATGGTAAAAACAAACAGTGAAATATTAGTTAAATATTATTAAAATAATAATTTTGTATTTTAATATATTTTAAATGTCAAAACAAACCACTTTGCATGTACTTCCAAAGGATGAGGACTCAAGCTTGAATATATACGATAAAACCGACGCCATTGTTACTGTTCTTATCTCTATTCATACAAGTGTTGAGGAAGCCTCCAGAGTTGACATTTTAGCTATTTACCTATATTTTGTTTCCAATATGCACTGTAAGCGGACAGACTGAGCCAACTGACAATCAGAGCAGAGTTGGCTCTCAGAAAGGAGGGGTTTAGAGAGACTGAATCCTTGATCGAACCGTTTTAGACAATGTGAGAAAAGAGGTGATGTATATTGTGAGAAAATTATTATTTATTCATTTTAATATCTCTTAAAATGATAATCAATAGTTTTTTTTTTAAATACCATAAAGACAATTAATATATTCATGACCTTAAATTATCAGATTGGGGACAATATGAAAGTAACTGATGACAGAATTTGAATTTTTGGGCTAAACTATACTTTCAAAATACACAAAGGGTGGGCAGGAGGGTGGACAAGTGAGAAAGTTGTTCCTTTAGTGCCTTCTCTCTTCATGTTGACTGTTGAGAATTTAGGTTAAACAATTTATTAGTAACCTCTGGGCCAATGTATACACATATACCTTTCCAACACAAATACACTGTATAAAATCAGCCTGATTTGAACATTTCGTCCTTTGTTTGCTCTTGCTTGTCCCCGATACAAAAACACACATACACACTGAGTCCTAGATTGCAGCTTGACATAAATAGCTTAATTCCTGGAAGACATCAAGCCAGCTTCCAGGCAATGATGGAAAGGGGACGGAGAAAAAAACTCTTAACAAACAACATGATCCATGAAACACAACCAAAGCCACTGCTGTTCCAACTTTGACCACAACTCTGTGCTCTGCCAAAGCCATGTTAAACCGACACGGATAGACAATTTAGACTTACTGGATCTATTAGGACAATATTTACCTTTCCATAGCTTTTACGAGGTCCTTTTTTTCTCTCTAAAAGTTTTTCCTGGGAAGAAAACAGCGTTTACTTTGACTAAAGACTGCTTGTGTTTTCAACATTCAATTTTCAGTGATGCTTTGAGCACATATTTAAGCCTGTTTAATTCAAATACATTATCCTTAAATTGTGTAGTTTGGGTCATGATCTTTTTTTCGAAGAATTTATCTCTGATGCTCACAAAGCTGCCCATTATTCTGGTCTGTGGTCACAGTGTGCCCCCTTCTGGTGTATTACCTCACCTGAATATTGTTGAACTGAGTAAACTTTCCTCCTCTTCTGAATTTGTTCTCACTTCACCCATGACCTTCAGCAATTTAATGGTCTCCGGAGTCTAACAACTTTTAGAAATGCATAGTCATTCACCTTAAGAGCTTCACCATTCACCTTAAGAAAAAAAAATACTTCATAAATCAATCTAATAAGCTGACAGTTGTACGTTTTTTTGTTGTTGTTGTTGATGATAATTTTTTTAAGGATTTTTGGGGGATGAATAGAAAGTTCAAAGAACAGCATTTATTTGAAGCAAAAATCTTGTAACATTATGAATATTTTTACTGTCGCGTTCGTGACTCTCCTGTTCGAAATTGTTAAAAAATGAAAAATCTTTTTTCGTGTCATTTGGTTCATTCAAAGAACAAAATGAATGAATTGACTCAGGAAAAGATTCGTTTATTTTGATGAACGAGTTCGAACAGGAGAGTCACGAAAGCGCATCACAGAACAGCATGGCGAACCATTTGAGCTTATAAAACTTAAACTTTGTATTTTTTTTTTTAAATGAGCGATCGTTTCGCTTGATAAGACCCTTATTCATCTTCTGGAATTGTTTAAAGGCCTTTGAACAGTTTGCAGTTTGCACTGAAACTGTCTTTGGGATTTTTAACCGTTTGTTACCAGTAAAGTGCATATGGAGAAAAATCCTGGACTGTTTTCATCAAAAATCTTAATTTCTTTCCGACTGAAGAATGACATGGATGACATGGGGGTGAGTAAATTATCAGCAAACGTTTTTTTGTTTTGTTTTCTCTGTCAGCGGCCAAATTCTCTTCAGAATTTGTACTTCTGGGGGGTGTTTGGGGGTGTTGAAGCACTGAAATCGTACCTACAGGGGTGGAACTTAACCTGCAGAAAAAAACAAACCTTCATGCATTTACATTTTGTAATATATAGCTACTAATTACGATGCTGTGAATATAATACATATATAACACATTAAATTTGTTGGAATGAATGGAATAGGATCATTTCTCATTTTATTAAATTCATAACATCAACATTAAATATGTTCATAATATTATTAATTTAATATTATCATCATAAATCAACTGAAAAATGGACATAAAATGTTGTTGATGATTGATCTGCACGAACTCAATAAGTTCCTTGTAAAATCCGATGATCATGTTTTGAGAATGATCCAAAGTGCGTCAGTGCAAGCAAGAAAATGTGAATGAAGTTAACATTATCACAAATTTGCTTACACTCACCTAGCGACCTAGAAATAGTCCAGAAATGGTCCTAAAATATTTAATTTTCTTGTTTATTTATAACCATTCGTTGTGATACATTTTTAAAAATTCTAGAACTTGGGTAAAAGGAACAACAAATGTGTTCAATGTGTTCTCAGACACAGACATGTATAGCCTATCCGTCATGTCTCCACATTTATCTTGTTTTCATTATAACCAGCTTTTGTGTGCCAGTAATAGCATCAAAGTGGTGAATTCCTAGATTTCACTGCATGAGGGACTGTGTGGCACCGCAAAGTACAAAAGCTTCATTATCTGCAACTCTTAAGTGACAAAGCAAGATCCCACACTCGCACTAAACTGAGAAAGATTACACCGCCACACTCACAAACAAATAGCCTACCATATAATAGAATCCAAGCGATGAAAAAGTTCCACAATTTGGGAAAGTACACTGCAGCATTTCTATTATGTTAGGCTGTGGTAATGGACTGCATTGCTGAAATGAGCTTTGCTTTTACCCACTGAACCACAGACTGTTGGCACTCCTACACTGGTAAGCCAGGCTTAGACACCACAAATGCAAGTTTGCAGTGGGAAACAATGGATAAATATAGCAGGGAAAAGCTTTGCTGCTGTATCATTAGATACTTGGTGCTCAAAACGTGTAGTTAGCTACACAACATATGTTTTTTTTCTAAAACAATAGTTGTATCAGGGCATTTCACTCACGGCACAATGCTGAGCAAGTACTGCATGCTGCTGTAGCCTACAATATAGCATGATGGATTACTCATAACAGATCTATACAGGCGGAGCTAGGGTGCTAGAGTTTCTTTTGACTATTGGTCTCTTTTAATTTGCCCTGCACATTGTAAAGAAACGCATAAACAGATATGTGAGTCACCTCGAAACAAGATGAAATAGGTCAGCACCAGATTGTGTGTGATTGCTATAAGCTGTGGGATCAATGCATCAAGCACCTTTGCCAAGATGCTTGTGTGAGTATGTTGTTAAATTACAATGCTGTGATGTGATTGGAGTGCCCATCATGTGGATTGCTTGTCGTGGTGCTAAAATCAGAATGATGGGGTCCCAACAGCAACAACCCTGCCTGTGCTGCTCCTAACTGGGCCTCACTGGCCTGGAAGAATGATGTTTCTTTGTTGCATGTTGCATGAACTTGAAATTGAATTCAAGACCAAGAAATGATCGCACACAATATAAGTTGTTATTCATCAACAAAGAGGAACGTGATATGAGAAAAAAAGATGAATTGAAAATGATGAAATGGAGCATCAACCAATGAGAAGAACATTAGTCATCATAACCTTGGAGAGCACTTCAAAACAGAAGATTTGACGGTTATATATACAAGAGTGTAATGAGTGGGTGGGTATAGTACAAGAAAGATTACAGGAATCCAGGTTTGGCAAAGATTCATTTTGGAATTAACACAAGCGCCAGCTTGAAGAAAACTAGAATAAGTGGAGACCCAGATGTAACTTGGCTTCAGTTTGCTGAGGCTGGTTCTGATTGAACGCTTCTGTCATGATTTCCATTTCCTCACCCAACCCCCCCAATCCTTGAGGTAAAGCTTTCTGTGTACTTGGATCTCAATAAAGCAATTTGAGTTTTTTCAGCATCTACAGTGCTCTGAGAAACCTTTTCACATAGGGCCAGGCAGGTTTGGAAAGTTTTTTTTCCTTTAATAAATGAAATAATCATTTTAAAAACTGCATTTTCTATTCACTATCTTTTAAAATTAGTTTGATTTGAATCATTTAAGTGTGATACATATGCAAAACATTTTTCACAGCACTGTACATTATGGGTGACTTATTTAACTTTTAGTAGCATTTAAAATGTTTGGTATCATGGAGCAAATATGTTGCATTAATGGTTCAAATATGATTCATGCACACTTTCTGTATTTTATTTACCAGTATGTGTCTTTTACCTCCCCGTTTTGTGCTGACCCACAGAGGGGGGTATGGAGGTGATTGTCATTGGCTCTGCCATGCAGGCAGCTGGCACAGAAGATGTGGTAACAGCCCAGAAGACATAGTTGGCTGTATTGCTCATGACACAGGTGACAGACGAGGGGATGGAGCCTGTAATAGTCTGGAACCCACTGGTCATCATAAGAGAAGACAATTCTTCCCGCCATCTGTAAAAAAACCCACAAAAAACAGCAAATACCTTTAAGTATTTGGGGTAGTTAGAAATGGATATTATATCCAATGTCTGCTTTTTTTTAAATCCAGAATTATTTTTAAGATTTTTTTTTTTTTTTCCAGAATTTCTACAATAACATTAATTAAAACAAATACAATAAAATAATAACCTACATTTATTAAAATACTTTTTTTATTCAAACGAATTACTATAACATTAGAATCTTGTTCTTTCTCTGACAAGTTGGGTTGGAAATAGAGACTAAGAAAAAAAGACAAATTGTAATAAATAAAACCACATTAATAAAACTAACAAATTAAATTCAGTAACCTGCAGTCAAGTCTATAGAGTGTGCTGAAGATATTCAATTTTAAATACAGTGAGTGATATAGAAAAATCAATCAATAAATAGTGCTATAATTATTCATGTAAATCCATTGTCGTCATCATTTTACTTAAAAATGAGCATTTTATTGAAGCAAAGCAGTTCACTAACACTATGCAATTAACAAAAAGTGCCTTACCTGATCAAAAACAAACAACAATGCTGTCCGATATTAGTTTGCATATTTGTTATATTCCAAACATACTGCAAAAGTGCCATTATATGAACTCCATAATGTGGCCAACTACATAAATCTCTGCATTATGTCTGCTGCATGTAAAGACAGCTTTCATTTCCTCCTCACAAGCAAAATGTAGTTGCCCACGCAGTAAATTTGGCTTGGTTCAGGAGGGGCCAGTGGATAAACACTATGGTCTTGACCACTATCTACAGCTGGAATGGCAGTAATGCTTGGACTCTTCCTGATGCCAAGCAGCTGACTATGTTGGAGGGGAGGGGAACTGAATGCAAAAGGAGACTGTTTGCTAAAGGTAAAGCTGCTGTCTAACAATATGAGAAACCATACCCTGTTAAGAGGTCAGCAAAAATAATAACACTTTTATTTGTGCAATTGGATATCAATGGTCTCTTAAGTTATTGTTCTTTTACCAATAGTTTAATAGAGTACCAGGTCCACGAGTTGCAATGATTGCGGACTGCCTAAGCATAGTTCGGCATCAAACAATGGAACAAACTCCTGCAGAGTCTGAAACTTACCTTAGACTTGAAGGATTTTTCTTGCAATAAAGGAAAGTGCTATTGGAAACCCAAGCATAGATAGCATAGATCAGCATAGATAGTCAGCATAGATAATTGTGTATTTAAATATGACTTTTAGTGATGTTTTATTATAGTAATTTTGGTATGATTTATTTGGACTGATGGTTGTAATGGGGAATGGTTGAATGGATGAATAATAGTTCTATTTGAGTGACTAATTACATTTTATATTGTACATTTTGCAATTCACTTGCTCGGGGACTATAGATGGAAACTAGCTAAATCTGGTGAAAGCATCTTGTTTTTTTGCACATTGTCCCTGTAGAAAAAAAATTATAAAATAAAAAAATAGGTTCATATTGTCTGTAGCCTATGTTCTGATTATAGTTGATATATCTCAAGTCTTTATAGGCTATGTGTAATCTCATTTTCCAGTGATTTTTCCGCTCAACAACATAATTTAGACAAGGCATTCGATTAGGAACAAATAAATAAACTGGATTTGTCAAGACCCATTGACTGTACTAATCAATCTCAGAATAACTGATTCAATCGATTGTGTTTGGAATAGATTATAACAGGAAGATTCAATGCGCATGCGCTCCCTCTCCTCTCTCTTTCTGCCAAACTGTCGGCCATGGCCCCGATTGTGAGTACGAGCAAATTTTCTGAAAAACGACAAAATACGTTTCGTCACGTCCCTCCAGGCTCGCAGATATCAGCGAATATTAAAGGCGAATCATATAGATTTTGAGTAATTTGACTAACGGAAGATTTTGTGCATCAGTGCTGTTTTTAAAAGCGTTTGTTTACCGGAGGTGTGGAGGGAGGCCTGCTCGTGAGCAACCACGTTGTAGCAACGTTACCAGTTAGCGGATTAGCATTTCTCATAGAGCCGACACAGGATAACTAGAATAACTAGATAAGTTACTAGAATACTGATCGTTTCTCGAGAATACTGATATCTATCGACATGCTCTAGATCATTTATATATTTTTTGTATTTTGTTTTGAAAGCAATTTCTTAGCCAAAGAATTGAAACCACAAAGCTAACTTAGCCATACATGATATGCCTGCGTTAGAGATTTAATTTTCCATTTACCTCAGCATTTTTAAACTCATTTCGTTATTGCTTTGAAATATGTGTAACTATAGGTAGTTGTCATATATGCTGTCAGATTCCCGTTTTGCTAGAGCTATTTTTAATGAATGATCGGAGAAACATACGTGCATTGATTAATGTAACTTAGATTTATTTACATAGCCATCCAGATCTTTAATGGAAACGTTGATCTCTATTGATTTCCTCCTGTGCTTCTGATTGTGTCTCAGAAAAAGCAGGTGACCAAGGGTGGGAAGAAGAAAAAGCAGGTCCTAAAGTTCACCTTGGACTGCACCCACCCTGTGGAGGATGGCATCATGGATGCTGCTAACTTTGTAAGTGTTCATTGGTTTTCTGATGCATAGTGCACACAAAACTAGAAATCTCCAATCAGATTACCTGACTGACTAGCCGTTTTGGGTGTTGTGTAACGTCATGTTTTTAAAGTTTGCAGTGAAACAAATTTATCCCGTACAATTTAAATATATATTATAGATCTGATTGTGAAGTTTTCATCCTTCCATATGTTTTAATTTTTTCAACCTCATAATGTTTAATCAAAATATCAGAACTGGGTCTTTTTTATGTACACATGTACAACTGCATTTCCTGCTTGTATCCATTTCAGGTAGACATGCCCCATGATACAAAACTATAATTTGTCTGTTATAGCGCTGCAACTAATGATTATTTGTATAATCGATTTAATCTGTCTTTTTTTTAATAGCCCAATTGAAGGAAAAATCTATTATACATTCACCAAAATTTAAGTAGATGGATTTTAATCCACTATTTTAACCAATTTATTCAAACAGTTTTCCCAGGCACAGTGTGCCGACGTTATTAATCGATAATCAAATTCATTGTTGATAATAACCAATTTTATCAATTAGTTGGCAAAGTGTACTTGTTCTGATAGGTAAAATTTATTTTATTTAATTTTCAATAGCTGATGGATGTTTGTGCAGCTGTGATAAAAGTAGGGACAGGGGTTGATGGCTTGCAGTTGTATTTCTGTATGATATTATAGGCATTTCTGGATGTGTCTCTCTTTAGGAACAGTTCCTTCAGGAGCGTATCAAAGTAAATGGTAAAGCTGGTAACTTGGGTGGTGGCGTGGTCTCCATCGAAAGGAGCAAAAGCAAAATCACAGTGACATCAGAGGTCCCCTTCTCTAAAAGGTGAGTCTGAGATTAGGCCATCCTTAAAAATATTTTGGTTTGCAGTAACAGCAAAAAATTTTTTTTAAAGGGTCGGTAGGTAGGTCAATATTTTTTTTTTCAAGATTCAGTGAAAAAAAAAAAGTACAATTTTGGTCATGGTGATCATGAATTTTTTAAAAATTGCATATTGTGATGTCACTGACTGGGTCTTCAAACTGTGCATCCACTGCTAGGTGTCAATGCAACCTACAACCGGTTACGTTTTAGGCCAATCACAAAATGAATAAAATATCTGTTTGTTATGCAGCAGTGTGCAGGCTTTTATATATATATATATATATATATATATATATATAACCTATATATATACATGAGATATAAGCAAAAACAAGTACAAATACATGGTACAATACATTAGCCTATATACACAGTGCTTTAATTTCAGGAAGGTCTTAAATTATCTACTTTTCAGTTAAGTGTGTCGCTCTGTCTGAAAATAAATTTAATTTAGTAATCAAATGTAAAATGACACTGCATGGCTTATCATAGTTAGATTAACGCTTATTAAAGTTTAAGTTATTCATTCAAGAGCTGCGAGTGATTTTTCTCTGCCTTTTGTTGTTTGATTCGCATTACTGGCTCAATCGTCACATGTTTATTAGACTACTGCTCCTTTAAGACCGAATGCGGATCAAATAGAATAGATGACTGACGCACCATCATTTACTCCCAACTATTTACGTCCATTTAAGACATAAACTGTTTAAATGAATCTCAGAGCAGGTCATTTTATATTTTATGTATATTTGATTGTTTAGCTGCGCACATGAAGCCCAAAATGAGGCTATAGCCTACTTTTCTTGTCTCGTTGCAGTGCAGCCTTGTGAACCGCGTCTCTTGCGCAGACTTTTGTGCTTTTAATAGCTCTTTTAATGATTGAACGCGTCCGCAGTTTAGCAACAGTACAGACTGCATTTTACAACAATTACCGGTCGTGCTGATTCTGACGGTACGTTTGGGCTTTAGGAAGAAATGACAGCGCAACGCTGTGAAGGGAAGGAAGTTACGCTAGACGCGTCTGTAATTGTTTCATCTCAAATATCTTCTTAAATACAATTAGTATAATATCCCAGATCTAAGTGTAACACGTTCCGTCCTCATTGTCACTCATTAAGCAGGGCTGTCGTGTTGTCCGCGCTGTGGCTCCGGGTGAGAGATCGCTCTCTCTCTTCTGGACTGCGAATAGCAAAATTGCATCACAGACAAATTGTTTAATATTATATATAGAAATGTTTGATATTCAGCCCCGTTGCCCGTTTAATACCGGGTTTACCAAGCGGGAACACTGAATGAAACGAAGCGAACGTACAAGCCAGTGTGACACGCGTAAACCAATAGTGTAAACATAATGACGCCACGGGTTTTTATTTAAAAGAAAGAACGTAGCCTGGCTACGTTTGTATGTAGACATAAGCAACTTCCACAATAGCCTACTAACTAAAATATAATTAATATTATTATATTGAATTTGAATTAGTCGTTTGAGTAAAAAAAAAAAATCGGTCGGTCTGAACGCAAGTTACAACCGGCAAGTCGGTCGGACCAAAAGGGAAAAAAAATAAAAAATTGGGTCGGCCCTAAATTGACAGGGTCGGTCGGGTTACGGCAAACAAGAATATTTTTAAGGGTGGCCTTAGAGATCCACTTTTCTGAAGTTAAATTAGGAAGGGATGCTAACTATTAACTTATTACTGTTATTACTCTGACCATTATGTTAAATTTAGATTTTAAAACAAAAATGAGATGTAAAAGTAGTTATTAAGGTATTGGAACTGAAAAATGTTGTACATGTATTACCAAACGCCAAAAGAATATTTGAGCACTGTCCTCTCTCCACTGTCGTCGCTCCTCCTTTATGCCTCCACTCCTCTGTGAGAGATGCGAGACCGGTGCATCTCACAGGTGTCGTTCATTATCACTCACACCATCGGCCTCGTCCTGCTCGCCACAAGATTTCAGCAACATGACAAGCCAGTGAATTAGCAGGTTTCAATTGTTTCTTTGCACAGTGCGTGACATTTTTATCTACACATCACGCTAGAGTTTTGACAACGAGTCAATGCGCTCTGTCTAATTCTTGCTTGTTTATCGTCATCAGTCTTTTTCCTTTTACCCGTCTTTGTTTTATGAACAGGTGCCACTTGAGAAATTGGCAGTTTAGGTTGTTTCTCTACCATTAGCACAGCTATCTTGAGTTTGAACGGCGGTACGCGCTGT